AATCACAGACAAATCAATTGATGAGTCCCACTATACTCGGTCAAGTTTATTGCCTCCGATTCAAAGCTCACAGAAACACCCCTCTACCCGCCGAGCTACATCTGAGCGTTCCGTTCGCACCATGGACACAATCCGGGGATTACCGACACTGAGTCCAGACCTAAGCCAACTCGATGAATTCCAACAAACGACCACATCCAAAGTGCAAGGCTATAAACAGATTTTGACGCAATCGGCCACATTCAACTGATCAATCGTGTAATCCCCAACCTCACCCGGCGCATACCCAACTGAACAAGCAGATCTAGATCCCTATATTGCCTTTTGAAGGAGAACCGTCGGCAGTAGTGCAATCCACGTCTTCAACGGATCCACCTATAACAACAAAACACTATTCAGAACTAAAACCTGAATTAATTTTACGAGAATACAAGCAATTGCAATCAAAACGATGATTATCGTTTCTTTGTTCATCGCTGGGTAAAACAAACACGAATTATCAAATAAGATCTCAGTTTTGGAGTTCAACGACCAGCTTATTTCGGTGAATCGTCACTGCCCTTCTTAAAGTCTTCTTTTCAGTGGGGCTTAAAACAACATACAACAGACAACATGGAATCATTCATAAACGTTAGGGATACTGCAGGTAGATGCGGTAAATTAAAGCGTAGGGACCATGCTTTGAAGTGCGGAAAATGAGGCCTATTTGTAAAACAGCAAAGTACGTGATAAATGGGCCGAGCATTTAGCTCGAACACTGATCCACTGATGGACAGTTTGACACTTTCTAAAGATAAATAGACGCAAAACAATGCAAAAATAACAAAGTCGATGACTCGTTCAAACCATCACAAGATTGAAAACCTAATTTGATTACTCGCGAACATTGACCGAGATCGTTTCCCAAACAACCTCCAAAGCAGTGGTTCCCGAACAGCATGATAAGAAAACGTCTTCAAGCTGCTTTTACCGGAAATTCTCGAATTAGTGAAAGGCTTGAGAACTATTTTATTTATACATAAAAATACACAGCCCATTAGATTTAAACTGGTGTAGGGATATGGAGGCAATAGGAACATTAGCCTAGGTCGATCCTTCCCGGTTGTGACCCGAGAGCTGATAGATAAGTTGGTTAAAAAACCCCAAATGATGGGACTCAGAATAGAAACTCGTGTGGTGATAACTGTAAAGGTTCACTGTGAACCTGACAGGTATCCCTTACTTCTATTACATTGCATGCTACTTAAGGATAATTCGGCTTCATGGAGTAGAATCCCAGGATCATACGGTATTTGTCCCCTAAGGTGCGTCTATGATTCATATTTAACTCAGTTAGTTGTGACTAACGATGTGGGATAATTGACAATGATTTGAGCTAAGCACCTTTCGGACTTCACCTTCACACACAATCGCCAGTTCATCCAGTCAACCATAGGCTCGGGAGCAATAGACTCGAGTTTCGTTCTTATTAGAGCTCATCAGTAGTGCATATCCGCCGTACCGTCTGGGCTTGGAATTCCAGACCCATCGCATGGAAGGCGTGTTACCACTGTGCCAACTATTTCATACTAGATCGGAATCGAATCATGTTTGTTCAGGTGTCGCCGTCAGTGATAGTGTGTAACGGCTGACAAGCGCGCCAGTAATATTTTATCGTGAGTGCTTATATCTCACTGGACCTTTTTGGTTTATGGCGTTTTGTTTGCTTTGCCTTGCATGTTTAACTTTAACCCCGACCTACGGAAGACTTGTCTGCCAATGTTTCCTAGCCACCTCATGTCCCGCCTCTCTCTCGTCGTTCGTCGCCCGCAAAGTCTCATTTCGACTCCAGCTGCGAGAATACAAGCCGAGGGACATCTTGTCGTGTATCTTTGGCCAATCGGCTGCGCTGCGAGAGCCCGGAGTGTGTTCGTATTACAGGTGCACCCTTAGCTGTAGCACGGCAGTCGTACCTCTTCAAGACAATCGTGTGATAGCGATGGCGGCAAGATTCGGGGATGCTCCCGATGTACACTCGTGGTATATTTTAAAGATCGCTCGTCAGGCGAAAGCCCACATCGACTCTGTAGACCTTTCCCAACAAACAATTCAGAAGTCAACAAATTATTTAACATGAATGGTCTCAGACAAAAACTATTATCATGCAATTTCATCTTTCCGCCGTGCGATATGAAGTATTGCCGCCGTGTTTGTTTTAATTCACACAATTATCAACTTGCACCTTCGCGCGAATGTTTTCAGTACCCATTCGGACGACGAAGTAGAGGGGAAAATGGGAAAGTTGGAAGCAATATGAAAGAGGAGCAAAATGCAGCTAAACTAAATTTGCGAAGAAATTGAGTAGATGCATGAACGCCAACTCTTACGGAACTCTACCATATTCTAACTAGGGTGAGCGGTTGTTGGGGCCATAAAACAACTTGGTTTTACGAACTAAGCACAGCCGTGCATGTTGTCCTTCTGCCAGACCACCCTCAAACAAGATCCACATTTCGATTCACTTTTAATAGCCCTTGGCTTCGTTCTTTTGGATCTCTCTTTTATCGCAGTAGTCCATAATAACGACTAGCATTGCAGCTCTCAAACTGAGGCATTTTCTTATGCACTTAGAATGCGACCATGCTGTTTTGGGCGATAAGTCTCCTCTTGTTCGTTTAGTCATTTTCTTTCGTTTGGTTTGCACCACTGATTTGATAACCTTAAATATCCGGTGTAATAGCTGTCTATTTTGCAATACTGCTTGATTCCCAGAACTATCAACTAGATCGATAACGATTTGAGAAAGCCTTTCATTCACTGAAGGCAGTAGCAAACTCACATAAGACTTTGCATTATCAGAGCAAAAGGTAAAGCGGACCTCATGGATATCAGATCAGCTTATACAGCTATTTGCTATTGCTTAGATTCTCAACGTGAACAACCTCCCCCTCACCAGAAGAGTTCTGCAATCTTCCCAAAATAAAACGCAATCACCCATCCCAGACGAATCATCTTTAACCGGGACCCTGTTCCCATTGAGACACTAATCGAACGACACGAGTAGCGAACAAGCTCGTTTTCGAAGACTTGCTACTCTGGCTAAAACAAGTGGCTTGTTCGTTCCTCGTGTTCTTCTGTCGTACAGATAGATGACCGGTAGTAGCATCACTAGAATTCATTTCTAGCAACTGTTTACTCTCGAGCGTTTTTTATCAAGCCGTCAATGTCCTACTGGGTAAATTGTATGCATGATAGTTGTATTTATACCTGATCATAAATAATACTCACGACCGAATCATTGAGCAAAGTGAACCCCTTGTTTCTCGTGTGTACCACACTCGCACATAATCGACCTTTGCAGACAGAACATGGTTTCTTTTATTCAACCACAGTCGCGACCGATTTCGATCCTATAACACGGAAGTTTTCTCGATAGATGGAAAGATACACAGAGAGGGGAGTTCTTCCGGTACGGTAGGAACACAGCGATGCGCGATTCTCTCAATGGGAGAGATAGGGAAAGAATAAATGCAATTCACGAAAACCAGCTGAGATAATAACAAACAGAAAGAGAACACCGAGCGTGATCAACAGTCAGAGATTAATCACAGAAGAATGGAAAAGAAATGGGGGGAGGGGACGGGGAGACACTGTGGTGTGCAATGCGATTTACATCCATGCACGTAAGGAGAAAAACGACAATCAAAGAGGTTACTGTTAGAATAAAAAGAAATCCAAAGCACTGAAGAAGAAGATTATGGGGTGTGGAGATGATTGTGTGATTCGGACATGCATTCCGAATTTCGATGTTCGAATATCACAGTGGTTCCTATACGTTTGTGCTGTGAATGTGGGGTCGANGGTCGATCAAACGAGGACGATATCGGTGGATGATGAGACACAGGAATGTGCATGACGTAATGAGCTTTTATATATGAACAATATTAGGTAGTCTGCCCTCGGCGAGGTCGAATGGATTCCGGTGGAAGGACACTCACTTGAGTAGAAGAATGGTCTGATGCAGCGGGACGAGCCGGTGAGACGGGATTGTGC